AACAAGTGTCTTACCTGTCTCTGTTTCCCTCAGAATTATATCAAATGTGAACTTGTATGATTATCCTTAGCACTTGTGAGATTATATATAACATGAAGTAATTAGTGTATGATTATACCCGCACACACCTTGTAGAAAATGCATCATTTCACATCATCAGAGAAATGTCAAGGCTTGTCAAAAGATATAAAATATATAAAATATATCAAATCCAACAGAATCTTCTAGTTTACGTGTCCTCCAGGAGCAATTTGAGATAAGTGGGCCTGCCAAGGCCAGCGGGTAAGCCAAATTCAGATAAACAACAATTGTTTGGACCGACAGACTCTGTTTTCTGTCTGCCTTCAAGTTCTGCTGCTACACTCTTCTGCTGTGAATCCAAACAGCCTGAATTTGTGGACATTCCATCCGGTCCATGCTTGATAAGCTTTCTCCAAGACTTAATCCTTCATGCCGGCGAGTTCCAGGAGCAACAAGTGGCCTACGATTCTCAGAAATGGTGTCCAGCTTGCGGTTGAGCTCAGTAAGCATATGAGTCTGAGAGCTCAAGGCACAAATTAATCCTTCACATAAGGCTGGCAGCTTTACCATGGCCGAAACTGCTGCCGACATCCTCCTAATTTGGTGATATCCTAGAATTCACCTATTCCAAAAAGCAGAAACCCTGTTATCATAAATCCAATAATGTACACATCTTCTACGTCCTTGACGGACAGCACTGATAGGTACATCAACTTCCACTGCCCCCAGGAATCCATGCTGCGTGGGTCCGTTCAGGGCATGAGGGCTCTCCAGCACCCTGTCATCTGGTGGAAAAAAAAATTATCAATTGACCAGCTGACCAAATCCATAATAATTTTCCAATTCAGAAGATGTGTAAAGAGAGGCTTTGAGGAGGTTGTCAGGACAAGAGAGCAAAAAAAGCAGGAATGAGGTAGAGAGGGTAAGAGCGACCGTCTTTGTCGAGAGGGAAAGAGAGAATGTGTACCTGAATCGAAGTGTAAAAATCTTACATCAGATTTTTCCTGCCTCAGAGGATGCAGCTGGACATCATCTTGACCAGTCTCCAGGATCACACCCATGTCGCCTCGCTCCTTGGCTACAGCTCTCCTGCTGATGCACCGGAGCTCCCCTCCTCAGGCCCGACGTTTGCAGCTTATCCCGACAACGTCTACAGCACCACGGGGGACCACCCTGACACCCACCTGGCTGAGATCTTGATGAAGACTCTGCTCAGGAACCTTGGCTTTTACACTGTGAGTAGATCCTGTTCTAATGTGTCAAAAGTTTTACAGTAACTAAGTGTTTTTCATTAAGTTTTTCCAGTAACTGTTTTTCAGTAACAGTGTTTTACAGCAGGGGTATTCAATTAAAACTCACTGAGGTCCAGTTACTGAAATTTCCTCCTCGTAAAAGGTCCAACGAAAGTCCAACGTTTGACTTTTATGGTCTTACCTACCCGTAATCACATTTTCTCTGCTTTCATACCATATTTAAAAATAGTCCCAGACAAATAAGTTTAGGGCCTTTATTTCAAATTAAAACATAAAGCTCAGAATAAAATACATCTTAAATGTGCAAATAGAACCTAATAAGCCTTTTTTTCTTAAATTGAAGAGATCCAAGCCTAAGAATTGAAGGCTTACACTTAAAGTAAAAAAGTTAGCATCTTTAAAAAAACAGAAAACAATTAAAAAACATTGAAACATTAAAAAAAGTGCCTCTTTTAGTATAAAAAATTGTAAACGGAGCAAGTAGGTTGGAAGATAATAATATAAATTAAAGCTGCAAACAGCATTGAAGGCCCTTGCAGCAAAGCGCCGCTCCGGCCTTACGGCGACCGCGGGAGCTCCAGCGACTCTGCCCGGTTGCCATTGCGAACGCTCACGCTTCCGTCCCACGCTTCCGTCCCACGCTTCCGTCCCACGCTTC